CAAGTCTGGCTGAACTGGCCACATGGGTCGTGGAACAGTAAATAATTAACCTACTCAGAGATCTATTATAAAAAGATTAGTTGGAGGTGGAAGGAGAAAACTACCAAGAGGTAAGCAAAGCCAAATGATATGAGACTAGAGTCTTTATACCTGTTTCACCTAATTGAACACGGTATTTAAAACGATACTTTTTAAGCATATGAAAAGTTTCAAATCCCAACGGTCTTACCTTTATTTGTGGTAAGTGCCAATAATTCACGTGGAAAACTGAAATGTGAAATTTTACCTAGGGCATAGTTTTTTGAAAAAGACAAGACGGACTTCCCTGGTGGTGCAGTGGTTAAGAATCCACCTGCCAATGCGGGGGACACGGGTTCAAGCCCTGGTCCGGGAAGATGCCACATGCCACAGAGCAACTAAGCCCGTGCGCCACAACTACTGAGCATGCGCTCTAGAGCCCACGAGCCACAACTACCGAGCCCGCATGCCACAACTACTGAAGCCTGTGCGCCTAGAGCCCGTGCTCCGCAACAAGAAGCCCGCACACCGCAACAAGAAGCCCGCACACCGCAACGAAGAGTAGCCCCCGCTCACCGCAACTAGAGAAAGCCCACGCGCAGCAACAAAGACCCAATGCAGCCAAAAGTAAACAATATAAATTAAAAATAAATTTAAAAAATAAAAATAAATCAAAAATAGACAAGACAAGCTCTGGGAGGGAAAGTAAGTTATTTTCTTTTCTGCTGCCTTAAGAGTTTCCAAACTCTTTTTTATAGAATACGTTCCAAATTTTCTATAATGAGAATGTGCAATTTTTAATGTCCAATATGTATTTTAGCCAAATTCGAATGATCAGCAGGATCAGCAGGCTTAAATAAAACTTATTCCAAAGGATCTCTCTGCTAAGGTCCTCAAACACATGTTCAAACATTCCTTATCCAACCATTTATATGACAGAAGACTCCTTATTTTTGAAGTTTTCATCTCTCCTAAATTAACATTAAAAACAGCAAAATTAGTAAACCAATGGCAACTCACTTTGAATGTTCCCATCACAGAAAACACTTTTTTACTACTAAAATATTAATAAAAATTAATTAAATATTTCGCTAATAAAAGAATCACACCCACCCTATTTCTCAAGAAGGAACAAGGACTGCTATCATTTACTCTAATATTCGGACTACATGAAGAGCCTACCCCGCACCCCGACGAGCAAGGCACCGCGGGGTTTGAGGTTTTCCTCCCGCCCCTCCCTCTGGAATGATAAACTGCACTGACCACACACGCATCTGACTCTGCGTGAGTGACCCCAGCGAGACTCAAACAATAAGAAAGGACAAAGAGCCAGTCTCACCTGTGACTTTCCTGCAGTAAGTGCAGTCACCTTAAAGTTTCCCACGCGCAGGGTGCTGTGCTGGGTACAGGCTTTTTCAAAGCAAACCTGTCAGACCCACCGAGCAGCAGACTTGTGGCCTTGGCTTCAATGACACCATGTTCTAGGGGATCTAGCTGACACCCAGTGACTGGGGGTGGGCAAGGAGCCAGGCCACCCCACGATCGACCACGTTCCCCTGCAACGACTTCTCCTTTATCCAGCCCCCTCCCTGCACGGCCTTCCCCGCCAGGACTCCTACAACCCAAACAGGAAGCGAGGATGCTTCTCACATCGGTGGAGCCCCCAGCGCTGTGCTTCCTAACAACCCTGACCCGTATGGTCACTTTCTACTCCTGGGCCACCACAAGCTGCTCTACAACTTCCACTTCAATTTCAAAACACAGGCCATCCCTCTACATGCATTCGGTCACTTTCCCCATTATTTCACAATTATGAAGTATAATATTAAATATTAGGTAACTACTCTGCGCCAGGCCCTGAAGTCTGAAGCTACTTCATCAGCAAAACAAGCACCACGTGACACTGAAATTATTTCATGGGCAAACAACAAGAGGCATTTCTGGAGGCACCCTGCAAACTGATTCATTGCAACCTAAACATAATCACTCACACCGTCAGGCTGTAACACTAACTTAAGAGAAACAGACTTAACTGACTTTCGCGTGTCAGAGGAACATAAGAATAAGACACATCAAAAGAGATTTGTTTTTAACAGTTACTTAATCCTATTAAGGTATTGCTATTTGCCCAGGTACCTTGTGTTGACATGTGAAAAAATTATGTCAACGTTATTACTTATAGAATAAAACGTCAACTCATTATAAGCGTTTTCACAGCTGCTGATTCTGAGAGATCATTCTCATTAGGACCAGCCCCTCTCCTCTGCATCACCCCACACACAACCCCAATCTCAGGCATGACTTTTACTCTATGCAGAAGGTACTGCTCCACCAAACTGTGAAATAAACGATAGTCCTTTCGCTTAAGGCCTTCAGAATCTAATAAGGAGATAACAGAAAAATTTACAACACAGCAAGTATGGTAAGTGCTACTGAGATCACAAAACTGCTGTGAAATTGTATGAGGGGGATGGAGGGTGGGGAGGGACAGGGCTAAGATTATTCAAGGAAGGCTACCTGCTTGAGAGACAGCTGTGACCAGGTCAGAAACCTACAAAGGCACAGAGATAAATACCTTTGCTTTTCTTGACTGTCAATTTTGTAGTATCTCAGAAGACAGACTGAAGTTCTCGTTAAAGAGTAAGATTGCAGGATACTTCGACATATTTAGCACTACCTTGGGAGCACATCAGAATGTATTCAAATATGAACAGAGGCACATACAATTTTAACACTACTTTTTGGATCAATCTCATTTGGCCGGCCACCGATGTTTCCCTATCTGCCAACAATACACACACACCGCATGTAATTAATGCACCTGAGCAGAAGCCCTAGAGAGAGTTTTGGAGTCTAAAATTCTTGAGATCAAAATCCCACTTACTCAGTGTTTGACTTGGCAAATCTCTCTCCGCCTCATTTTCTCAACCTGATTAGAGCATATATTAATACGTTTATGTGAATATTGTTTGTCTCTCTTAACTAGAATGTAAACACTATGAAAGCAGAGGCTGTCTTGATCACTGCTGTATCCCCAGCACTCAGCACACTCTCTTGTGCGTAGTGGGTGCTAAATGTATACCTGATATACTTGAGTGGATGAAACAGTGAAGAGCAACACATCACTCCACAAACTCTAGACTCTGACAGTGAACTATGACCTGACAATCTGTGTAGCTCAGCAATCTGGTAAGATTATCACTTTCAAAGACTTAATTATCACATTCCTTTAGAAAGACAATAATAACTGGCATATCTAAAAATAATTAATCTACCTGATCCTTGGAAATCCTTTTAATACGGTCCCTTTCAGCTTCCCTGGTGACGCAGTGGTTAAGAATCCGCCTGCCAATGCAGGGGACACGGGTTCGAGCCCTGTTCCGGGAAGATCCCACATGCCGCGGAGCAACTAAGCCCGTGCACCACAACTACTGAGCATGCGCTCTAAAGCCCTCGAGCCACAACTACTGAGCCTGTGAGCCTCAACTACTGAAGCCCACACACCTAGAGCCCATGCTCCGCAACAAGAGAAGCCACCGCAATGAGAAGCCCACGCACCGCAACGAATGAAGCACAATGAAGACACGACACAGCCAAAAATAAATTAATTAATTTTTTAAAAAATTAAAAAAAAATACAGTCCCTTTAACATCAATGGTTCCTAAAATATGAATTGTGCAAGAAAAACAAACATCCATTTGAGGAAATGGATTCTTCATGATTCATTCTTCAGTGTGATGTCTTTAATACTGTAGATTTTAATCCCACTTGATTTCAGCCATTTTTATACTGTTCCTCAGCGTGCAGTACAGAATCTGCTTCTAAAGCATCTTTTCTATCTGATTCACCGCTCCTAAAGAAAGGTATATGAAACGTACCACCCTTAAATGGAAGATTGCTGGGGGGGATCTCCCACATGCATAAAAAGGTCTGATAAGCCATAAAACAGAAGGAAAGATTTCAGAAGTCTTTAATAACATCATCACTAGGCCCACGTGGTGAAAAATAACTTTTTTTCTGTGATGGCTCATACTTAAGATGGCAAGATGTAAGTCATAAGGAGCTAATAAAACGAATTCGCCCCACCGTGTGGAAAACTGTTCCTTCTGACCAACCACAAAACACCAAGATTTAAACGCACCCACGTTTTGCTCAACTCGGGACTTTTCCACAGGCATTAGTACTTTTCTCTTAAAGGCGATTTAAAAGCCCCAGTAAAACACAGACAGCAACCCTTGCCGTCAGTTCCTGCACAGAAACACTTGAAGCCACACACTGATGCGTCTGGGGCGTTCAAGTAAACAGATGACAGGAACGCTTAAGCTGCTTTGAAGATCAACGTGGATTCCCAAAGACAAGATTGCCACCTTGACACGCGGCTGGAAACGGGAGAGCTTGTTCCTCTCAGAAGAGCAGAAAAGGGGGAAATTTTCGACAGCACTTATTTAAAGTTTCCACCTTCACACACACCCCCTTCCCCTCGGCGCCGGCGGGGACTCGGCCTCGCCAGAGGCGCGGGGAGGAAACCTGAGCCGACTTCCGTGGCCTCGCGGCCGATAAGGGGACCCTGCCTTCCCGCCGCAGCCCCTCGCCCGCTGGGGACCCTCCGGGCCCGGCCAGCCGGGCCCGAACCCGCGCGCCGCCGGACGGAAACGCGGGCGCCGCTCGTGTACTTCCACCTCCGGCCCCGGCCGGGCCCGCGGCCCGGCTCGCGCGCCCACAGCCCGGCGCCGCAGGGACCCGCGGCCGAGCCCGGGCACCGACGACCCGCGCCGCCCCCGCCGGCCACCCTCGCGCGCCAGCCTCCCGGGGCCGCTCCGCGCTTGCTTGCGCCCCGCCGTCCAACCGCCCCCGCCCGGCCCGCGCCGCCCCCTCCCGGCCCGCGCCGCCCCCTCCCGGCCACGGTCCCGCGCTAGGCCCCGCGGGCGGCGAGGGCGGGGACGGGGGACGAGGGCCGCCCGCCGCCCTCCCGCCTCACCTACCATGGTACAGATGGAGGCGAATTTGGAGACTGTCATTAGGATTTCCATCCGCCCAGCGCCATCTTCCACCCAATCACAGCGGCGGTGGCGGCGGCGGGCGGGGGAGGAGGGCAGCCGGGCCGCCCGCTCGCACCACAGCCAGCGGGCGGACCCCGAGCTGCCGCGGACCCACGCACCGACCCTGCTCAGCGGCCACTGATGTCGTCGCCGCCGGCGCTCCGGCACTCCCTGCCGCGGGCCCCAGCCCCCGCCTGCCGGCTGCCCGCCCGCCCCCGGCTCCTCCCCGGCGCAGGGCGCAGCCGCTGCCTCGCGGCCCGCGCCTGCCCGCGAAGCCGCCCGCCGCACACCCCGCCCAGCGCACTGGGGAGCGGGCTCCGCCGAGGCCCTAATGCCCGGCCTGCTGGCAGCTGCACTGCCTGGCGGCGCGCCCCGCCCACCCCCTCGGGGCCCCGCCCACTCCCCGCGCCGGCGCCGCCCGCTCCCCGCGGATGCCTCCCCGGCTCCGGAGCGCGCGACTCGGGAAACTCCCGCGCCGGCTCCACCCCGCGCTCGGCCGGGGCGGGGCTCGGAGGGGCCACCGCCTCCCGCCCGCAGCCCTCGCGGTCCTAGAGCCCGCGCGCCGCGAGAGGGGCAAGAAGGGTGCTGGGGGTGACCAGCGTCAATCCTGGAAGGGGCTGACTAGCAGCCTCTACCAACGGCGAGGGAACAGCTAGCCCAGACAGAAAACTGAGGGGGTGATCTCGATAATTCTGGGTGCGGTGGGAGGAAACCTGCTTCTGAGCGGTTAAAATAGCCCGGCTCATCCAATGTCCCAAGCACCTAAAATGTAAGGTGGTTTGTTTCTTTTTACATACATTGGGTGAATAACCTGGGTCAGAACACCGTAATTTCGCGAAAGACAAATTAATTAATTAAAAGTGAAAGAGGCAAAGAAGAAACTATATTTGGCTCCTTGAATTAAGAAAGGTAAATTATGGGGAAGGGGGCGAAGCTGATTTCCGCCCGCTTGTTGGCCATAAATTTAGAATTTGGTTATAAATATAGTATCTAAATATACTTGTTCTGAAAGTTGAGTTGCAAAATAGGGAAGGATCTCAACCCAGCAGTGATGATGTTATTCCCAGGGACAAGAAGTCCCACAAGTAAGAAAAATGTCCTGTGAAAAATGCTGAAGCAGTATTAGCCAGGGGGGATAGTTCCTATTTTCCGCTTCGATAAAATGCATCATTGCACCCTGCTCTTCGTGTCAGACAGCTCAGCTTCGTTTCTTCCTATTTGAGAAAGAAGTTCAAGTTAGTAGAATAACTTTATAAATTATTGTATTAGAAAGCTTGTGATTTTTCACGATTGAAGAACTGATGGGATGCTTTTTTAGTTTCCCCCATTTCAGTGGGGCAGAAATGACAAATGACAGACGAATCTCTAAAATCAGATATGCCTTAACTCTTCAGTTCAAAACATTTAAAACACAAAACATTCAAACAAAATTTAGGTGAAAAATAGATTTCTGGTACATGCATGCTGTTTCCATAGTGATTTCCATTATAAGCTTGCTTGGGGGAAACAAAATTGCACACAGAATATAGCCAAGTCCCATAGTAGCTGGCCTGCTGCTCCAGGCACCTGCCTCCCTGGAAGCCGGGACTTCCCTCATTGCCCTGATACCTGAGCCAGTGCTAGAATGTGCCAGAACCACACATTCAGGTAGCTGGGGTGCTCACCTCCCCATTTCCCTGCCTAGACTTGGAAGTATCACCCACCTGAGTTGTTTCTTGCTATGTTCCATCCTGCTTAGACGTCCAGGGCATTCCTGGGCCTCCTACCAGTGTTGCCATGCCCATGACAGACTGGACCCTGTCTGTCTCATCTATTTGGATGAAAGTCTAGTTGTCATTCTGTCCCGTCGAACAGGTCTAATGTGTCAGAATTTGAGCCCCATCTCCATCTAGGCTGCCCACCAAGATCTCTCCTTGTGCATGGAACAGAGGCCACCAGCTTTATACGTAAGTGTATGTAAGAACAAGGGCTTTTCTAAATGGATTTCTGGTAGAATTATCTGAAGTTGTTTAGTTGATGTTATAGCCATCTAAATTCACAGATGAGGGACTTCCCTGGCAGTCCAGTGGTTAAGACTCCACGCTTCCAATGCAGGGGACACAGGTTTGATCCCTGGTCGGGGAACTAAGATCCCCCATGACGCGTGGCGTGGCCAAAAGATTTTAAATTTTCAAAAATTTAAAAAATAAGTTCACAGGTGATAACACAGATCCTAATAGCAAACCTCCCAATGCCTCACCTCCCCAGCGTTAAGGTTAAATGGAAAGGCACAGACGTAAAGAGAGAATCTTCCATGTGCTAGGTGATGCACTGGGGTGTTTTTTTGTTTGTTTGTTTGTTTTTTACCATATGTAATGCAGATGAAGATAAGATATAGCTGAAATGTCACACGTGTACCCCCAGAACTTGAAAGGGATCATCTGGACTTAGAATACAGTTTTTACCTGCAACCGTATCAGCTTTACAAAGAGCTTCATTGTATGTAGGGAAAGATGAGTTTGTGTACAACTGACCTCTTTCAGGCCTTCCTGAGTGTATCAGCTACAAATTACACCCAGATAATTTCAGGGACCAAGCAAGTAAACAAATTAGGGCAAGCTCATTCCATTTGGTTAGCACGATGTTTTTAAATGGTTTTGTTTGAATAATTTTACACAATCCTTTCCGGTCCAGTTCCTTGCAAGCCACTTCATCTTTTCTGTTCTCTTCCTGTCTCCACTTAACCACGTGCCACTTCATATATTTCTGCCACCTCTCTTTTCCACGAAGCCATTTGGGTTTGCACCAGCTGACATCAATGAGTGAAATGCTGCCCTTGATGGGGCGAGGAAGGATGTGGTGGAGAGGGGGTGGAGAGGCATGTAAGACAGCCACAGCCACAGGGAGTGCTTATCAAGGAATTATGCGTGCACCAAGCATTTCCTCAAATCCCCATAACAACCCAGTGGAGTAGGTGCTATTATCGTCCCCATTTTCTAGATGAGGAAACGGAGGCACAGAGAGAACTTTCCCAAGGTTGCACAAGTAATAAATGATGGAACAAGGATTTTAACCCAGCTCCAGAGGCCACACTTGTATCCACCCTGCTAACCCAGCTCAAGTCAAAGTGCCTCATTCTGACTCTTAACAGAAGGAGGCTGAGAGGCACTCACTCCTTTGGGACCAGGTTACGGCTACAAAATAAACACAGATAAGTATTTCTTTGTCTCACTTCCCTCATCTGGAAAATAAGGGTAATGATTATTTCTACCCCAGAGGGGTGTGACAAGGATAAAACATGGAGACACAGTTAGAAAAGTGCCTGGCACTCAGCATAGACTGGAGAGCTTTGAATGGACATTCAGTACCAACATTTTAAAAGTCAGGATGGGCAAGTACTGCCCTCAGGCTGCCAGTTTACTCTCTCTGACATAACAAGACTCTGCTGTGTGCCAGTCGCCCGATTAGTATTTTATTTTATTTTGTTATTTATTTATTTATTTTCCGGTACGCGGGCCTCTCACTGCTGTGGCCTCTCCCGTTGCGGGGCACAGGCTCCGGACGCGCAGGCTCAGCGGCCATGGCTCACGGGCCCAGCCGCTCCGCGGCATGTGGGATCTTCCCGGACCAGGGCACGAACCCGTGTCCCCTGCGTCAGCAGGCGGACTCTCAACCACTGCGCCACCAGGGAAGCCCCTGATTAGTATTTTAGATGCATTTTCCAATGTAACCTCCCAGGGCCCTTGGAGCTGGATCATTTTGTGCTCATTTTATCACGTTCACCATGGCCCTGCCCAGCCAGTGTAGGGCCAGGGGCCACACCCAGACACTCTGACTTGAAAACCCAGGGTCTCTCCCCTTCTCTACCCTGCTCGTTGACAGCTGAATGAATTAACCTTCTTGGTGGCGTTAATTAACATCATCCAGCTGTCCAGAGGTGGATGTGAATCAAAACAGTGATGTTCTTTTGTTGGTTTGAATCAACAGATCAGTGACTTACTTTTCAAAGCTGATTTCTAATTCAGATGAGTAAAGTCAAAGCATATGCCCTATGGATATATGACTCTGATTTGCCGGGCAGCATGGCATATAGCTAATGTATCTAAACCTTTGTCGTTATTTAAATCTAGGTTTTCAAAGAGGGTCAAAGGCACAGCCCCTTTACATTCTATTTAAAACTGAAAAGTGAGTTCCTTCATTAAACCAGACATCTATTGGTCACCTACTGATGGTTAAGAGAAATCTGTGCGCCCAGGGAGTAGACAGACGAGTTTTACGGAAAATGAGCTGCGAGAATGGAGAACTAAGTGCAGTCAGCTCTGAGGCAGGTGAGACTAACCCTGCCTGCAGGAGGGACAAGCTGAGGACAGCCTCACAGTCCAGAAGAATAGGATGGACAGTGGCGGGGGAGGGGAAGGCAGAGGGAAAGTCACGTGCACTGACCCATAGGAGCCAGAGGGACGTCTAAGGCTGCGGCACTGAGCGTTCTGTGGAGTTTGTGGAGATGAGTGTGGAATGTTAAGGGGACAATCTGACCCACAGGGACACCAGCAGGGATTATGGTCTCTGGAACCTCTACCATCATATCCATCAGTACTAAGTGGTAGAATCAGCCTACCTGAAAACCTGTTTCTTGTTCTTCATAATCTCCATTTGGATTCCCACCCTGGAATTTGTTGAGGCTAAACATGGCAGAGACTCTCAAGGAGACATCAAACTAACAGGTATGTACCTGGGGAGAAAACCTTGACTTCCGGTGAGCACAGAGGTAAACTGGAATATTTTCTTTTGCCCTTAGCTCCTCACTAAGCAGGGCCTGACTGCAGGAGGCTGGGGAGCATCCCGGCTGTTTAGGAAAAGTGCAAAAGTTGCAGAGCTTAACTTGAGAAGGGGATACCTTTTCAAATGCTTCCATCAGCCACCCCTTTCTTCTGTGAAAAGGGGAGAACAGAGAGAGACAGAGCCATAAAGCGACAACCCTGGATACAAACATGATCCATTCCAGTCATGTAATTACTCAGCAATGGGCATCTGAATTGCTTTTTTTAGTCAATACATATCTGTTGAGTACCTCCGACTCGTGAAGTCTTGTTGGAAACAGGGAACAAAGAAGCTTGTTCCTTCAAAGAGCGTGCCATCGGGACTTCCCTGGTGGCACAGTGGTTAAGAATCCGCCCGCCAGTGCAGGGGACACGGGTTTGAGCCCTGGTCCGGGAAGATCCCACATTGCCGTGGAGCAATTAAGCCCGTGCACCATAACTACTGAGCC